TATAGTTTCTCTAATCCTACTAACTCCTATCAGAGTCCTGATAAAAACCTAGCTTCCTAGGTCGTCCACCTCCTGCTTATAGACCTCTGTGTCTCTTCTCCGTTCACCCTCCGCTGAACACACTCCTTGGTGAAATAGGAGATGAACAACTATCTATGACACACTCCTTTGATCAATCAAAGGTCGACCTATCACAAGGTGTCCTAATCTCTATCTGATTTTTGGATATGAAGAAAGAAGATTTTTTTTTTCCTAAAGGTATGGAAGGCCACCTCCTCCCTACTTCCTTGTTTCCATCGTACAGAAAGGAAAGGTATGAAAGGATGGTCCTTTCCTTTCTTTTGTAGAATATTATTTTATTATTATTATCATTATTATTATTTTTTTTTTAAACAATAATAGGAAATCTAATAAATAAAAAGTATATTATTAAAAGCTATTAAACAAAATAAACACTAAGTAGACTAAAATTTTGTATAAAAACAATTATAATCACACTTCACTCTTAATTTAAACGAGGGATATTACAATGCATGCAGTGGAACCTAGAGGGATTGGTGGTGGTTTGTGCTTGTTTTGGAAAGATGATTCACAAGTGCTTTTGGTGAAATACGCGGACTTTGTGATTGACGTTAAAATATGTGATTGACGTTAAAATATGAAATGATAGTAAACAATGTTATTGGTGTTTATTTGCTATTTATGCTAGTACTAATGAGAAAAAACGGCGGGACCAATGGATGATGCTAAGTAAACAGACAGAGAATGAAAGTGATAGGTACCTCCTGAGAGAGGATTTTAATGACATACTGAGCAACAAAGAAAAATAAGGTGGGAACTACATAACAGCGGCTAGTATAAGGGACTTTAAAGAGTTTGTGGCACAGAACGAACTTATAGACCTGGGCTACGAAGGTTATCCGTTTACTTGGAGGAATAATAGAGAGTCTAAGCCAATTGAACAAAGGCTCGATCGTGGGTTGGCGAGCATCGGGTGGCATGATCTTTATCTGGGTACTAAAATCCTGCATGTGGTGTTAGAAGGATCCGATCACGCAATGCTTGTTCTTTCCACGGAGAAGATGAGGGCTTGGAGGGAAAGAAGATTCACGTATGATGCATGATGGGGAAAGCTAGTTGAATGTCGTGACTTGGTGGTTGGGGAATGACGTGACAATTATGGTGGTTAACATGCTTTTCGGTTTTGCGAAAAACTGAAAACTCTTAGGCGGAGTCTTAAGGTTTGGTATAAAGGGAGAAGCAGGAACTAGAAAGCTATTGACCAATTGAAAGGAGAGATTAGGATGGCATATAAGTCAAATGGATTTGCCATGAATGAGGTGCACCTAAAGGAGATGGAGCTTAGGAAAGCGCATAAGGAAGAAGAGACTTTTTGGCGAGTGACGTCGAGGGTGTTAGCATAAACACAACACCATGATCATGCAAAGCAAGTTACCGTGATTAAAACACAGAACCATAAACCATAAAGCAATGCACAGAGAGAAAACATACCTGCAGAAGAGTTCGAAGCTACTGCCATGTCTGATTTCTGCAGCAAAGTCGTGGTGCATCTTCTCCTCTCTTCAGTGAACGAGACTCTCAACTAGTAATAGGTCTTACTCTTATATTGAGTACACACTGCAAGAGCAGAGGCCACCATATATATACTATACAATCTTAGCCAAATTCTATAAGGATTCCCCTATTAAAATCTATATAGAATACTAATTTATCCTAAATAGCAGTCCAGTTACAACATGGATTTACAAATCCATTCCCAACAAGACTTCCTACTCAATCTCTAATCCTACAACCAAGTTTACCAATTCATACTCATGCTCATATTCTAACAGAGGATCCAAAGGTACAATGAGGGAGACAATAATACAAAGTTTTTTCATGCGCAAACAATGAAATGGCAGAGGTTTAACCAGATCTAGGGGTTGAAGGATTCGCATGGGGTGTGGCGTGAGAGTGAAACCAAAATATGTTCGATTGAGGTGTCCTATTTTTCATACTTATTTCAGTCTAGTTGGCCGATTCAAATTGAGGAGATTATGAGTTGTTTGGATAATCGGGTGACACACGAGGACAATATGTTTCTGACGGCTCCAGTGACGGATAGAGAAATACAGGAGGCGGCATTTCAAATTCCTCCTACGATAGCTCCAAGACTAGATGGGTTCTCCGGTAGCTTTTATCAGGACCATTGGGAGGTGGTGGGGAAGGATATGGTGAATATTGTCAAGGCTTTCTGGCATTCCGACATGGTTTTACAGAAACTAAATCATACAGATTTGGTACTCATTCCAAAGGTGACATGTCCGAAGAACATGACGCGGTATCGGCCTAGTGCTTTATGCAACACAAGCTATAAGGTCCTCGCTAAGTTTCTTACAAATAGATTTAAAAGTTTGATGCCGAAGGTGATAAGTGACAATCAATCGGCTTTTGTGGTTGGGAAGCATATTCAGGATAATATCCTAGTTGTGCATGAGATCTTGCATTCCCTTATGCATCAAACAAAGGAGGACCAGACGGGTATGGCAATAAAATTGGATATGACGAAGGCATATGATCCTGTAGAATGGGAGTTCCTATTAGCTATGATGGCTAAATTGGGTTTTGTGCTGATGTTTTGTAGGTGGGTAAAGGAATGCACTTCCACTGCTTCCTTTAGTATTTTAGTGAATGGAAACCTAATGGGGTATATTTTGCCGAAGAGGGGGCTGAGGCAGGGGGATCCATTATCTCCGTACTTATTTCTTCTCTGTACCGAAGGGTTCTCTTCTTGACTTCAGAATGGTATGGAGAGATGAGCTCTACATGGATTCAGGGTGACACCTAATGGGGTGCCGATATAATTTTTTTTTTTTGGCGGATGACTCAAAGTTGTTTTGTAATGCAACAGTTGAGGAAGCGCAAGGTGTGGTGGATGTGTTGAAGGTTTATGCATCCGGGTCAGGTCAGGAAATTAATATGTTAAAAAGCTCGATTTTCTTTGGTTCCAAGGCTACGAAACGAAATAAGAAAAAAATTGAACGAACTTTGAATATTCAAAGAAATGAAGGCTTTGGGAAGTACTTAGGACTACAAGCAGATTTTGATCATTAAAAAAAAAAGTCTTTAAGGAGGTGCATGAAAGGATTGAGACATGTGTGGCGGGGATAGGCAGAGCAGCTCCTATCTCAAGTGGGGAAGGAAATCCTTATAAAGGCAGTGGCCATGGCTATGCCAAATCATGCCATGGGATGTTTCAAGTTACCTATTGGGGTATGCAGAGACATAGAGAAAGCTAATAGGAATTATTGGTGTAGGGGAAACGATTATTGGAAGGGTGTTCACTGGGTTTCTTGGGAACAGTTAATGAAGCAAAAGCGATATGGTGGTTTGGGTTTTAAAGATATTCAATGCTTTAATCTTGCCCTTCTGCCAAAGATCAGGTGGTGACTGATCCATAACCTGGAGTTTCTCCTAGCTAGAGTGTTGAGAGACAAATATTTTCCAGGAAAGACATTTAAGGAGGCGAGTGGTGGGAGGATAACGTCTTGGGGTTGGAAGGGTATCGTTGAAGCACGTAAGGTGCTAGATTATGGTATTCGGTGGCGGGTTGGTAATGGAACTTGTATCAATATTAGAGAGGACCCGTGGTTTCCTAAACCCACTACTTTCAAAGTACGGCCTTGGGAGGGCCTGCTGATAAGAGATCCAACGGCTAGAATGGCATGATAGATCAAGTCAGTTTTTCAATGGTTAGATAGCTGCCAGCTCAAATAGAAAGTCAGTTAGTTAGTTAGTGAGATAGCTTCCTAGCTAAGATGAGATCCCGTGTATAAAGTCTGAAATACAACACAGTTTGTAATAATTCATTCTCTCTCTAAAGATCAATACACAGAATATTTTTCATTCTTTCTCTCTCTCTTTTCGCATTCATTCTTCAGTTTGTTGTTCTTCATAGAACCATTCCTTAGTTCTGTTAACATGGTATCAATCGCTCAGGACGATCTGTTTGGTGTTTTCCGCTGAAGCTGCATACTCTGAGGGCGTTGTTACAACTAAGATTTCGGGGTTCTTGCTGATGAATTCATTTTCATTTCTGGGTTGCTGGTATTCTCGATCTTTGATTCATATTGGTGCTTGAAATTTGTTGCATATGATGTGTTTGATATATTGCCTCAGTGAAATGTACAAGTGATATGAAGGCCGATGCCAATTGTTTGAATCTGATAGTTGTTTGCTTAAGAAAGTTTGATGTTCGAAGTCTGATTGTTTGATAAAGATTGGAAGGTTGATACATTGAAAAGTTGAAAGATTGTAATTGTGTCACTTCATAGAAAGGCCAAAGCCATTAGTATACTATTTTGTTCTTTGATAATCAAGTTTCAGAAGTAGTTTTTTGTCTATTACTCCGTGCGTTACAATGGCTGCAAATTTTGTCAAGATTGAAGGGTTACTTGGACTGATTACTGTAAAGTTGCAAGAAGATAATTTTGTCAAATGGAGCTATCAATTCTCATCTGTTTTAAAAGGGTTATGATTTGTTTGATTTCTTCAATGGAGAGTCACAGTGTCCGCCAAAATATTGTATTACATCTGAAGGTGGGGTTACAAATGAGATCTCAATGGCCTACAAACAGTGGGTTCAAAAAGATTTGGCTTTGCTCAGTTTACTTGTTGCTACATTAAGTGATGAGGTTATGGATCATGTAATCGGATGCAAGACTGCTCAAGAAGCATGGGAAAATTTGCAGGAAAGATTTGCTTCTGTTTCTGTTGTGCGAATAAATCAGTTGAAAACTGAATTTCATACTGCACAGAAAGGGAATGATTCTGTTGACAAGTTTCTGTTAAGGCTGAAGGTGATCAAAGATCAACTAATTTCTGCAGGGGAGAGAATTACTGAGAATGATTTAATGATTGCTGTTTTGTCAGGTCTACCATCAGAGTTTGAAGTTATCAAGACTGTAATTCTTGCAAGAGATACTTTCATTTTCTCTAAAAGATTTTCGAGCTCAGTTGATGGGTGTTGAAGCTGCACTTGAAACAAAGATGAATACTCTTGCTGGAACAATGTCAGCAATGTATATGAATGGTGAATCGTCAAATGCAAGAGGACCTCAAGGTAGTTTTCAGAATTTCGAGCAAGGAGAAAGTTCTAATTCACAAAGATATCAAGGAGGTTTTAATGGTGGTTCTGGTTTTGCTGGGAATGGAGGTAGATCTTTTCAACAGAGATCTGGTTTTAATAATAACAGAAGGTTTAATGGAAATAACAACAGCAGCAATTCAAGATCTTATTCCAACTTTGGTAACAAATCTTATGGCTCTAATGGTTTGACTGATAACAACAAGGGATCTCAGAATTACTATAGTGGTTCAAACAACTTTTCTGGTGAAAATGGTTTCAAGCAAGGAAGTGGATGGACTGGTAACACAAACTACAAGTCTGCTGTGTCTCCAGAGTGTCAAATATGTTCTAGAAGAGGGCATACTGCACCAAATTGTTACTACAGGACTGATAATGGTCAAGCTAATCCTAGAGGGCCAATCTTTTGTCAAATCTGTGGCAAGAAAGGTCACACTGCACTCCAATGCTATCACAGGAACAACTACTCGTATCAAGGACCTCCTCCACCTCAAACCTTGAATCAATCACCTATGGGAATGTCTGCTCAGACTTCAACTACAATGCAAGAGGCTCAAAGTGTCCATGGGTTTTCAAATGCAGATACATGGGTGGTGGACACAGGTGCAACTCATCACATGACAGCCAATCTTGATCACATCAATCATGTCACTCCTTATAATGGTGAAGCTAAAATCACTATAGGCAATGGAGCAGGTTTGAGTGTCAAGAATATTGGTGCATCTAAACTCATTACTGATACACATACATTTTTGTTGAATAATGTGTTGCATGTCCCACTAATTACAATGAATCTGTTATCAGTTAAGAAGCTATGTAGAGATAATGGATGCTGGTTTATTTGTGATGATTTGGTATTTTTTATACAGGACAAGGCAACTCGGGTGATTCTGTACCAAGGAAAGAGTGATGATGGAGAATTATTCAAGATACCAGTCTCAGTTTTCAGAAGTTCCTTTGCTGCAAAATTAGAGAATTGTGCTGCATTTCTTGGGAAGAAAGTAAGGATTTCAGTGTGGCATAGAAGGCTGGGACATCCATCTGAGGAAGTGTTGTCTACAATGTTGAAGCATGCAGGAATATTAATGAATAATGATTCTTCTCAATCTCTTTGTTCAGCTTGTATTTCTGGAAAAATGTGTCAGTTACCATTTTCTGTAAAACAAGTTAGAACTACTTCTATGTTTGAAAAGATACACTCTGATGTTTGGGGTCCATCTCCTCATAAGTCCATAGAAGGGTATAGATATTATGTGAGTTTTATAGATGATTACTCAAGGTTTGTATGGATTTTTCCTATGATGAATAAATCAGATGTGTTCCAAATCTTTGTCAAATTTCATGCCTTTGTTCATACTCAGTTTCATAGTTCAATCAAATGCTTACAAACAGATGGTGGTGGAGAATATGTGAATAGAATGATGAAGAGTTTCTTAGATCAAAAAGGTGTTATACATCAGGTGTCATGTCCTTATACACCTCAACAGAATGGCATTGCTGAGAGGAAACATAGGCACTTGGTTGAAACAGCCTTAAGCTTAATGACAGATGCTTCCATTCCGGCTAGTTTTTTTGGTATCATGCTTGTTCATATGCTGCATTCTTAATCAACAGAATGTCATGTAAAAGTCTTGACAATAGATCACCTTATCAACTGCTTTTTGGTGAAAATCCTACAATTCACAATCTTAAAATATTTGGAACTGCAGTATATCCATATCTAAGACCTTACAATGCAAATAAGCTGCAGAATAGATCAAGTCAGTTTGTTTTTCTTGGTTTTGCAGTAGGATATAAAGGAGTGATTTGCTATGATATACATACTGGGAAATTTATAATATCAAGGCATGTTATACATGATGAAGATACATATCCTTTCAAACGACAGTCTGTCAACAAGGATATTGATCATAGTCGTTCTCAACAGTCCACTCAAGGTCATGTAGTTATTCAGGTTCCTATTCCCAGTTCTAGACATCTTGATGTACATGATGGTGAATATAGAATACAAGAAGAAAACACAGTGTTATCAGATTCTCAAAGTACTGAAAGTCAGTCTACAATTCCAAGTTTGTCTACATCACACAGATATAGTGATAGTACAGATCAGTCAAGGGAATCACATGACAATTCACAGCAAAACACAGTACCCAGTTCAACAGTTCCAAATTCTCCTCATCATCACTCTGGTACATCATCAATGTTGCCTGTCCAATCAGCTTCTCAACTTCAGGTAACTTTACCAATATCATCACAAATTGAAACAAATGTTCATACTGACAATTCTACTGGTGTGAATAATTCTTGTTCGATGCATCAAATGGTTACAAGATTGAAGAGTGGCACCATTCAAAGACGGAATTATAATGCTTTTATAGCATCATTTCCTGAGTTACAAACTCTGCAAATAACTACAGAAGATCAGTTCGTGGGAGGCTATAGTTTTTTGTCTACAATAGCTGATGTATCAGAACCAACTACATTTCGGAAAGCTGCTTCAATGCCTCAATGGCAACAAGCGATGCAAGATGAGTATGACTCTCTTAGGAGTCAAGGCACATGGATTTTGGTACCTCCTCCCAATGACAGATCCATTGTTGGTAGCAAGTGGGTGTATAAAGTGAAGAAAAATTCAAATGGAAGTGTTTCAAGATACAAGGCCAGACTGGTGGCTCAAGGATATTCTCAAGAGCAAGGTGTGGATTACTTAGAGACTTTTAGTCCCGTAGTGAGACACACTACTGTGAGGATAGTATTAGCCTTAGCTGCAACCAATAATTGGAAGCTTAGGCAACTTGACATCAAAAATGCTTTTCTGCATGGTGACTTACAAGAAGACATTTATATGAAGCAACCACAGGGATTTGTTGATGCATCTCATCCTACATATGTGTGTAAACTAATCAAGTCCCTGTACGGATTAAAGCAGGCCCCAAGAGCATGGAATTCGAAGTTCACTTCCTATCTGGCAGCAATGAATTTTCAGCCTTCTGCTTCTGATACAAGCCTATTCACTAAGAAAGATGGCAATGATATTGTCATTCTTCTCCTATATGTCGATGATATAATCCTTACAGGCTCAAATTCTCTTAACGTACAGAAAGTGATTGATGAATTGTCTGAAGTATTTGAGCTCAAGGACATGGGACAATTGACATATTTTCTGGGATTGCAGATTGCTTACAAGTCAAATGGGGACATTTTTGTGAATCAAGCCAAATATATAAAGGATTTGATTCATAAGGCAGGTATGGACTCATGTAAGCCTGCTAATACTCCCTGTAAACCACATGATCAAATGCTTATTTCAGATGGTCTTCTCATGACCGATCCCTCTCTTTATAGAAGTCTTGTTGGTTCATTACAATACCTGACCTTCACTAGGCCAGATATTGCATATGCTGTTAACACAGTATGTCAATTCATGAATTCCCCTACAGAAATGCACTATGGAGCAGTGAAACGCATACTAAGATACCTACAAGGGACTTTGACTTATGGAATACTATATTCTGCTGACACAGTGACAACATTAACTGCATTTTCAGATGCAGATTGGGCAGCAGATCTTAACACTCGCCGTTCAATCACAGGTTATGTGGTATATTTGGGCAATAATCCTGTGTCTTGGCAATCCAAGAAGCAAAGTTCAGTGTCAAGAAGCTCCACGGAAGCAGAATATAAGGCCCTTGCTCACACTGCCGCTGATGTTGCTTGGGTGAGGGGAATATTGAAGGATTTGGAAGTATTTTTGCCATTGCCACCTACGATTTATTGTGATAATTTGTCCACCATTGCACTCAGTGCAAATCCAGTGTTTCATTCTCGAATTAAACATCTTGACACGGATTTTCACTTTATAAGGGAGAGAGTTCAACAAGGGGATTTGGAGGTTGTTTACATCCCAACAGAAGATCAAACAGCCGATGTACTTACAAAAGGCCTGCATAGTCCAACATTTCTCAAACATTGTTACAATCTTAGGCTTGGTGCCCAAGCCACGATTGAGGGGGAATGATAAGAGATCCAACGGCTAGAATGGCATGATAGATCAAGTCAGTTTTTCAATGGTTAGATAGCTGCCAGCTCAAATAGAAAGTCAGTTAGTTAGTTAGTGAGATAGCTTCCTAGCTAAGATGAGATCCCGTGTATAAAGTCTGAAATACAACACAGTTTGTAATAATTCATTCTCTCTCTAAAGATCAATACACAGAATATTTTTCATTCTTTCTCTCTCTCTTTTCGCATTCATTCTTCAGTTTGTTGTTCTTCATAGAACCATTCCTTAGTTCTGTTAACACCTGCAAGCAACAATGGCGAGTGAACTGATTGATTCGAACTCAAAGACTTGGAATGCAGACGTGATCTTGGCGGGCTTTAATCAGGACGATGTGGCACCGATTTTAAGCATTCCGTTTAAGCAGGAAATGTTGTAGTGACAGGTTGGTGTGGCACCACACTACGAATGGGGTGTACACGGTTAAATCCGGCTAGGGGGTGGCGTTGGGTCTTATGGAAAATGGAGCACTGTGGAGGAAAGGGCCGGGATCGGCGAGAAAACAAATCACAATCAGGTGTGGAATAGGATATGGAGTTTGGAGGTCCCTAATAAAATGAAATTTTTTGTATGGAGGTGTTGCAAAAATGCTTTGGCGGTTAGACAAAATCTGCAGAGACGACATATGAAGACTGATAATGTATGCGGGGTGTGTAGCCTATGTGATGAAACGGAAAACCATTTGGTTTTCCACTGCGAACTCAGCCACCTATTTTGGTTATGTTCGCCGCTTCAACTTAATTCCTTTGATTTGGAATGCGCTGACTTCTTAGAAAGCTAGGAGAAATTCTGTAACCGTGTTAAGGGAATGGAAAATGCAGCTGAGATCATGCAAGAATTTGTCTTCGGGTTATGGAGACTATGGAAAAACAGAAATGAGGTGGTTTTAAATGGAGTGCACTGATGGCCTTTAGAGGTTTTGGAGGTATGGAAGAGGAACATCTCTGAATTCAGAGATGCGAAGGCACATGGGGTAGCGGGAGTGAGTCCAAATACGGGGACGACGACCTTGGCATTGAAACGACAGAACGAACAATGGCAGAAATTGGGGTTTGGGACAATTAAGATTAATACCGATGCGGCTTGGTGCAAGTATACGTTGCGTGCGAGAGTGGGCTGGGTTGTTCGAGATTTTGCAGGTTTGCTGCAAGCAGCGGGAGGCTTGGGAGTTATGCATTGTCATAATGCAGCAGAGGCTGAAGCTACAACAATCTGTGAAGCTTTGGAGTTTTGCATTGAGCTGGAGTTGACAACTTGATTATTGAATCCGATGAAAAGGTGATTATTCAAATGACTGACTCATGATTATAGCCTTGAATGTATCCTTGGTGACATTGAGACTCTAGCGCAAAGTTTGAGGTCGGTAACGTTTGACTTTGTGTCTAGAGAGAGTAACCGTGCTGCTCACTCGGTGGTTAAGTTTGTGTTTAAGGAGGGTCATTCCTTTGTATGAGATTGTATTGGTCATGAGTTCTTGTTTAATATTAATTAGTGCAAGATATTAACTTTTCTATTCGATTATAATAAATTCTATATTTTGGAAAGAAAAAAAAATTGAACTCATAATCTTCTCCAAAAAAAAAAGGGAAATCTAGAGCCGCTAACCCAGAGCTCTTAAAAGAAACCAAACTAGGGAAGATTGTTTAGAGAATTGGCTAGAGTTGTTGCTTTTTTATTTATGAGTCGAGCGACAATGTTAGTAAATTAAATGTTAGATTAGCTACCAACGAGGTTTGAATTTATGTCATCATGTAAGGGCACAACACTTTCCACTACTGTGGTAAAGGGCTAAAATTTTAATAATAGATAATTAGGTGAATGATTTTCTGATTACTCTATGTCAACAATAACATATACACACACACACACACATACAAATTCAACATCCAATTACGCCTATTTCTAAGGCTAGGAATCCGTGATCCACCTTTGATCTAGACTAAAACAGGAAATTAAGGTAAATCTTGCAAATATATTACAAAGATAATTCTCAACACAAAACGATAATGAGCAAAGAA